GATGGACTGACTGGCACAATCCTCGAGAGACCCCAACCCCAACGGCAGATTGATTCGTACAATATCATAACATGGCGTATATATATCCTCGACGAGCAAGGAAACAATTTGGAGGCTCGGACAATGTTCCTTGGAAAAAACGACTGAGGGCACTTGGACCTGCCCATGTAGATACGGCAGATTCGTGCAATAATATTGGCAGCACGGTTGATTCTTGCCAAGTTCCAGCTGCATTGTTAGACCCAAACAAGAAGGTATTTCCTTGGCGAGCATATCCCGACACTGGTCCCTATACAGCTGGTTGCAGCGGGTAAGCCACTTTTTAACCTCATCAAACTGCTCCGAGTCAATTGCCGTTTGTGCCTTCTTGCTTATCTTGAGAACCTTTCTAGGGAGGTATATATACTTATCAAGAGATTATTATTTTGGCAATAGGTAGGGTACATAGGATCAACAGTTGTTTCGTCAACAAAGATGGCGGAAGGATACATGATCTGGAAGGGTCAGAAGGTTTCCTGTCCAACGTGAAATAACCCAACTGTCCCAGTTGGATACCAAGTTCCAAATTGCATGCAATCTATTTTATAAAAATACTATGATGGTTTCTCCGATTAACCTCGTTCCAAAGATCATATGCGGTACCAATTGAAGGCGGCACTATTATTTTGTTGGACGGGGCCATCCATTTTAACCGTGAGAATGAAATATAGAAACCAGCATACTCTTTTGAAATAGTGGCTTCAGTATCACAGTACTGTAAGTTTGAAGTCGCAGCATGAGAGAATCAATTTTCTACCGCGATTGTCCTCCGAGCTACATCTGTTAGGTCACAGGCTTCCGCCAAACGCGTCTTGAAAAGCCTCTTCAACCATTTCTCGGTTCGCTCTGTCAAAATATCGCGCATAACATGCATTCGAGCGCATCGTGTCAACTCGAAGGTTGTCTCCTGAGCAAAACCCCAGGACCTCAGAATAAAGGCCATTTCAATATTTGTAAAGAGATTCAATAATACCTCAAGGTGGTTACCTCCCCGGTTTATGACAAGATCCAAATGCAATTTACCCACAGGTATTTCCCTGTCACCAGTTAGCAAATCCTCACAATTATCCTGAATCTCGGTGCAGCAGGCAAGCCACTTTTCAGCTTCATCAAACTGGTTTCCGTCAATTGCCTTTTCTACCATTTCGCTCATCTGGAAAGCCTTTATAGGGAGGTATGCTTGTACGAGATTTGCCTGCTTCAATGCATACAACATTAAAAATTGTTTGGTCAACAACGGTGGCTGAAGGATGCACAACCTTGAGGGGTCGGAGGGTTTGAGGTCC